TGAGGACTTCGATTAAGCATAGGCCTGATCTACCTTTCTGTACTCTTGCTTCAAGCACTTTGGTGATGTGCATGCTGTTAATCAGTGTGGGATAGAAACATCTTTCAAAGCTCGCTAAAGTAAACATTGAATTGAGGTGGTACTGCGTTCGAATTATTAGCCTCATCGCCTCGAAAGGTGGAACAGGTGGTACTTGCATGTAGTTGGTCACGTTCTCAACTACGACTTTTCAACCTGGGAATAATTTTTTTCACAAAACTTAGCTACATTAGTGAAATCATCCACTGAAGTAGAACAAACATTTACTGAGGGAAACTAGAGGCCAAAGTTGAGACGCGCACTGCTTGGGCACTGTTCCACCAGTATATGAGGAAATTCTGTTAAAAACTTGCCACCAAAAGGTTGTCTACAGGAGTATCTGGTATGGCCAGTCACTATCCTGACGAAGTTTCTTGTCAGCTCTAAGGAATTACTGAAAAGAGGGTTGACCCAAATGGAGCCGCGAGCATGATCTCGATAGCATACAACCTTGCAATTGATCGTTCGACTATTTACCCTTACTACGGAGGTGGAGGTGTTGTAGTGACAAGTGGCGCGCTTACCACTCGCGCGGTCCTGGGTTCGAATCCCAGGTCGACACCCGCCCAGGCCAACCAAGCCTTCTACCCCCGGGGACGGTAAATTGGTTTCTGGTCTGGGAGGATAAGAACGCTGACTGCATCGGCTGACCCCGCAAGTCATTGTATAGGCCACATCGCATTCAGTAAGCCACTACGATTCTGAATGAACATAGAATGCGTGCCGCATCCCTCGAAGGGATGATTAAGGCTGCGTTTATACTTTGCGGCAGCGTAGCGTAGCGCTTCCAGCGTACGCCAGCGGCAGTGCCGAAGAGAGGATGCATATCGATCTAGCTTCACCAGCGTCACCAGCGGCACGCTGGCGTACGGAGGAATTAGCGTGTTTCACGGTCCTGTATCTCCATTCCTGGGCATGTTTGGGCGGGGGACCACGACACATCGACAGCTGGGGGGCTGATAGTCTCATACACCCTCAATGTGTTTGAGCGTACCATGTGTCTTTAAACATGGCCTCCTCCCGTGGTTCACTGAATAAGTAGCGGGTATTTTGTATTCGTTCAAGTTCTACCGTTCCCTCTAAATTACTTCGGATAAAATAAAAGAAACAAAAATGTGGATGTTACATTTTGAATAGACTTTTAGATTTCTATTTCAGGGTAATTGCATGAACCGGCTTTTCGAGGGCATCGTTGCTTCAGACAGTGATGATGAAGACTTCGTGGTTTGGGCAAACTTCGGGAATGAATCCGACAGTGACTCCGACCCTGAGGTCCAATTTGTGCGAGAGGATAGTGAAGAGTCTGACTGATAATTACTCACCTCTTTCTCTCTTGAGCGGGGTTGGCTCTTTTTACTGGTAATCACGCTTAGCTTGTTCTCTCATCTTAGCTGTAACTCTTTCGGTGCTTGACATAGTTCTAACATAACAAAGTTGTAATTTTTGTGCAATTGAACAAGTTGTGTGTTATCCTGCCTAGAATGCTAGTGATATATACTAGATTGTGATTGGGTAAATAATTTGCCTTTTGAATCCTGTCGAATATAATTTGTCATTTGTTGTCATATAAATAGCTTCTATCAGATGTCTACAAACGTACTCGGTGACGTTCCCCACCCAATAAAGCTTATGAATACTGCTTTCGTTTGATTCAGTGAGTAGCTGTGTTTCCATCAACTTCTTACTCGAAATCTGAAAATGTTAGATTTATAAATTGGTCCAATTCAGGCTAATGGGTGGATGGAAGCTTGAAACAGGGCGATTCGCTTTGATGGTTACATTTCCAGTTGCCGCATTCTGGTTTTTCAACCAACCTTCATTGTTCAAAGTGTTTGTAGGTTAATTGGCACTTTTCCCGTGACTTTTTAGGAACATAGTGGTTTTGTTCAGATGAAAGGGTACAAGGTGCCGGATAGTAGAGAGGGCGATGCTGCAATAGCTCAGTTCAAAGAGCAGCTTCTCGCTCAAAAACGAAAAGATGAGTACGAGTCGTTTCTCAGACAGCAGATGGCTTTCGAGGAGGCACGACGTCAACGAGAAAAACAGAGTGCTTGATTCTAATATTCCAAGTAATTGTGTAGAAATATTGAGCAAGCACCTCCGCAGGCAAGGTCCACAACCAATGATCACGGGCTCCATCGTCGTTCATTTGTTAAAATTTGAGATTACTCGCTGCTCGTTTGGTTTTTGTTTATTGGTAGGTCATAGTGTAGCCTATTGTACATAAAGAGTATTTATATTGCCAGCCTTGATGTCATAGTCGTTTGGAGACGACTAGTATTTTATCCCTTTGAAAGCTTTCTGCGTGTTAGCAATGATTTTTAAATATTTTTGGGTGAAGGAAGTTAATGTATCGTAGAGGATTGATATCTGATGATGAGGATGATGACGCACATCCGTCGGAAGCGACAATGCATTTCAGTGCGAAGGTTTGTGTGTACCTCTACTTTTCAGATTTCACACATATTACCTTAGAGTTACCCTGCTCCCTTTGCAGCTAACAGCTGAATTCCGCAAAGCGTTCCCGCTGAGGAGTGAATCGAACCTTCGTAAACCGACGCCTATCGCTACCCCTTCTCTAACACAAATATCGAAACGTTTGAATTTTGATGATAGCTTTAACACTAGTTCAGGTGAGTTGAGTTTTCGGGTCTACTTCAACTGATAGGGACGAGTGGCGCTTTGTACCTTTCCTCTACTAGAAGCGCTTTGTCGTTAGAAATTAAGCCCTAAGGGCCCTCGTAGGCTGGGGATCTCCAGCGAGAAGTCGCAATTCGATGTAGGTATGAGGTGTATTACCGCTGAGAAGATGTTAGTAAGCTAGTAGATGGGATGGGGAAGAGAGGGAGAGAAAAAGTCGCCGGTGGCGCGCATGTGTCGCGTGACGAGCGATGTCGCTGCAATGGTGCGGGGATAGGCAAGACACTAACAGGCGCTGCAGTCACTGCGATATGATAGATTTGCTCTTTATCGAACTGTCTGCTTTCGGACGATAGCGCCGCCACTCGCTAACAACTGCAGTCAGTAAACTTAATGGAATCAGCTTATTTCTAATGCTCCCGCCACCTGTTCTCGGCAAATGTGCCTTCACAGTGCTTCCAGATTCAGTGCTGTTTGATACAGTATCATTCGTATAGCTTCTACGGCAGCCGCCACTTGTCCTACCATTGTTTTACCAATCCATGCGCAAAAAACGGTCAGAAGGTTCATTGTCCGTATAACTGCAGGTGGGTGCGAGCGGGCTGCTTTGTTTTTTTTCGCGCGCGGTCGTCGCTGCGGGGGCAGCAAACAATGCGACACATGCGCTCGTCGTTATCTCCCTGCGATGCCGAAAAGGTGGGCTGGGGTAGTACAAGAGGAGAATGATTCAGGAGGTCCTACTTCGCAAAATCTTTTCCAAATCCATCAGACGTTGTATGTAAGCTTTGCAAGGTGTGTAAGGAGGCCTCACGGACATGAACGCTCAATGAAAGCCTAAGTTGTAATGGTTCGCTGCGTGGGACGGTTGGCGTGTCCAGTGCGGCTTTGCGTTTGCGCGGTGTCCCAAATTCGTGTCCTCCCCACGCGAGTTGTTGAAGGCCAATGCCAGTGACAAGTAGACATGCTGTAATCATATCGTTCCCTATTATTCGTTTTCCTAACCCGCTTTTTGTCGCATGCGCGCTTTAGCAAAAAAGCAGAGAACGGTTTTGCTGCTGTGCACACTCATTCTGGCTGACACGCCCAACCGTCCGCAGCGAACTAGAGTGCAGGGAGGCACTTTTTGTATTCAAAGATGCTTTATGAGTTATTCCGAGTCTTGTGTTTCTAGGTTGCAGTTTATTCTTAATTTCCAAGTGTCAAAGTTTTGGAGCTGAAAGAAGAAGTTGACACCTTGAAAAGGCAGCTGTCAAACGCTGAGAAAGAAATACAACGTCTGAATGAATCGGAGAAAGTACTATTGTTGACTGATAGAATACAATGAAAAAAAAACCATGCTTATCTCTTATGCTCTTTTGAGAATGGAAAGCAGCACGTGGACCAACTGCAACAGGAAATCCTGAATCTGAGGAAAGAACTGATTAGGCAAAGTCACAGCGTGGAAATCGAGAATGTCAGAACTGAGCTCAACAAGGTACGAGTTCTTGTTTGCAGGTTGTGAATGTCTTTGAAGTCTATCTGTTACTGTTTTTTAAAACAGGTACTGCATTCTCGGGACGAATGGCATGAAGCAAGCACTCGATTCCATCGCTATTTTAAATGTGCAAAAGCGAGATTGATGGTCGCAGAAAGTGAACTTCGCCGCCGAGGATTGTTGAAGGGAAACGTGAAAACAGCTGTACGTAATTTACTTGTGGCAGAAGCGAATGTGTGATCACAATGAGCAAGTTCTTTATCTTAACCCAAACTACAACATCCGAGGTAGAACCCACCTGAACAAAGGTTTGGGAGAGAATAATATGCCGCTCACATACCAGTTACTTCGCAGTCTACAACCATTGATCTGAGGGCAGAAGAGGCGCGGCTGCGCGGGCGTTGAGGATCAGCCGAAAAAGAGGCAGAAACGAATGTGTGCGAGAAGTGAGTAAAATGAAATAAATAGCCACGCCTTCTGTTGCCCTCGGGCATGAACAATGCTTCTTGTCCACCTCCGTTGTGGAGTAGTGTGGAACCATGCAGGTTTATGAGACTGAAAAACAAAGGGAGAACGCCCTTTCAGAGGGGGGGGGGAGGGAGCGCTGCGAAACCAGGCCGCTGCGACTCTAGTCAAATGTTTTTTTTCAAAGGCTGATCCTAGCGTAGTTGAGTGCACACTGAACACTGCCTTAATCGGAAAGTGCAGAGAACTGGGAAAGTCCTGCGCGGGAATCGGAAACATCTCAAGAAATCAACAATGTTGGGACAGCCATGAGTTCGCTTGGCTGATGATGGTCTTACTTTTTTGATCGTAAACTTCTTTTCATTTCAGCTAACGTCAGCTTGGACGTCAACTGAGGACAACATTCAAGATATTCAAGGTTGATTCTTACCTAATGCTCAGTTTTGGTCTTCTCGCGTCTTCTTTCGTAATTAGCGGGCTTCTAGGGAATCTTTGCGATCTTCTCAGGGATGCCTCAACGACTCTAGAAGAGCTGGACAAGGAAATGAACGATGAGCGAGGTTGTTTGAAGTTGTTACCCATAGTTTTCCCTCCTCACCCACCATGTAATCGTCGCACCTCTCCCATCTCTTCTTGAAAACAGCGTTCTGTTGCTATGACGCATGAATTCCTTTTAGTGTCCCTCATCTGTCCTCATCGGTCTATATCACTTTCTTTTACCTGTAATACATATCTCCGTTACCAGTTATTAATTCGAACCCTGTTGTGGCCAAATCGAAGAATGTTATGAATTTGCGGTCAAACATCCAAACGCACACTACCAGACAGATTTGGTAGATTTCATATAAGTCTGTTTCAGATGACGTAAGGGAATATATGAAGAGCCTCACACAGAAGAGTGCCTCATCGAATGGTGACGAAGATGACGATTCGAGTACAAATGATACAGCAATGATCTTTGAAGGTACATGTTTTTGGAACGAGGGTTTCCACATAAGAGTAGCAAGT